CCACTAGAGATGTGGTAGCTAGGCGGTGCGAGCATGTGTAGCGGCGCTGTGAAACGGTGTGAGGATGAGTAGCGGACTCTTCAGCTGTGCGCGGGTGAACAGAAACGACTGTTCTGGACTGCACACATTATTCCCTCGCATCCCTCGCACATGTCTCGCTTTTTTAGTATGTACAAATACTTATCTCCGCTAGCCCTTTTCCACCAGAGCTATGCTAAACGAGGCTAGGAAAATGAAGTAATCCTATTGGCGATTTTTTTCCTCGCACACCGCCTCGCTACCTCGCACATCTCTGGTGGTTACGCAGCCTTAGAGTTATTCATTGAAACTCTAATAAATTCAAATTTATTTAGTGTCGCTGGTATTATATATTGAGTAAATAAATAAGATTCTTTATTGCACTTAAAAAAGAATGACAACACAGAGTAATAATGCGAACATATCAGGATGATAGCCACGGCCATTATATTAACTGTTATATTTACCGTCCAAGTTAGTTACTATCGCATTACCTATTTCTAAGCAGTAATGTCACAATTACTGTGTTCCGGTTTTGAAGGGTAAGTATGGGTGCTGGTAAAATTACAGGCACATGGGACTTGTCAACTTATGTCTCAGGGTGACGGGCGCAGTGGCAGATCTTTGTGATTTAAAGCTCTGAGTGGCACTGCAACTGTTATGGACAGGCGTGTAGCTTATCACCAGGCGCACAACTTGTTCGTTCCTGCACTTGATATTTAAAAAAAGACTAAAGTAACGGATAACTCCCGTGTTTAAGTCGATAATTTCGCTCGACACGTTTTGAACTCGTCTGAGGTTCATAATCATGAGATTCCGCGGCGGTGACTTGACGAAACCTGCACGCCAAAGCCCTGACAGTCAGTCACTTCGTATTATCTGGTCAGGAATTCCCTCTTCAATAAGTACTAAACAAAAAAATCATAATTTGAAATGTACCATGGGCTTCAGGTAAAAGAAAACATAGTTACAAAAGAAGGTTCACAACCTTCGGAAAACTTGTTTAGTCCCCAACCCGCATTTTGCCAGCGTGGCGTACTGTGAAACCTTGCCTAAGAAGAGACCCGTGCCCAGCATTGAGACGTATAAATGATGGTGATGATGAGGTACCAAAACAGCGACATTAGCGCCAGGGCACTACCCAGAACGAACGTACAAAACTTCGTTTCTGAAGTTGTGTCTTCCTTCACCACACACAGTGTAACCGCTGGGTCACCGAGGTTCACAAATAATTTGATAGTCGTCAATAAATTTTATTATCGATATTCGCGTACATCTCTAGTTCTTAGGCATAATGGAAGACGCCAAAAGGGTATTCAATCTTGGAATATTTTAGCGACGCACAAAAATACGAAAACATGATTTCGGCATCTGAGTGTACCTGACAACTTGGAATGAAGTGAGTTTTAAAAACATTTGGAAAATAATTGAGGTTTATAGAAAAAAAATAACAGATGAGTATCTAGAGCGGTTGTGGCCTAACAGGAGAATGGTTGCATCACTATTAAGGTGTAGAGAGTTCGAATAAGTTAAGTATATTTGTCATTGTTTAGCAATGTACGTATACAGAGTTTGCGTATCTCAAAAACGGTTCTCAACCTTTGGAGTGTGCAGTCCCAGCATTGGGCTAGTGTGACGAGCCTGAAGCTCTTCTTACCCGTACCCAGCAGTTATAATGATCCCACACGGGTCTTTATCGAATCCTAGTGGTCCATTACACTAACGAGGGTCAATGAGAGTGAATCCCACTTATGTACTTCAGTTGGACTAAAAAATTTTTAGTTTGGCTTTGGTTTTCCGGCCAGTTGCCACGTGACGTCAAGGCTACATATAATATAATCTTTCAAAGATTGTGGACGCCGCCGTTAACGCTGAATGGTTACCTCCGCCGTCGTTCCTTTCGGGTCGCTGCAAGCTGAACGCCCAGATCTGTCTGCAGTCTTAACTTCGGCAATACCGCAAAGCAGCAGAGGTTTTATACAGAGTTTGCCTTTCGGCCGAGTTGGTCCGCGGGAACTATAGGGAGATATTCCTCGCGAAATATCCGGTGAGCGTTCTACTATCCGCCACCTGAGGAGGCGGACTCTAGCGATGTGGACGCCCCCGAGCCAAATCACTCTTAATTAAAAATTTTACTTTACATAATTGGACTTTACGTATGTACACTTCCAGACACTTATTGAGCCAGCTTGCACTGTCAGTATCAACGTCCCTGATGTTATACGATTTACTCGTCAAGTGGCTTGCACACCGATTTTCATGGTGTCGCCATCCCTTTTTTTTTTTTTTGACGGGGGGAAATCTTTATGGATACCCCTGAGCCCAGGGAGACTCAGGGGTTATGTGGGGACTCTCTCTCCAGGCTGGAGGGCCTACCCCACTAAAACCCCCCCGGGTTTCCCTCTCGCCGGTTGAGTCGGCGCCGTGGGATCAGTGAACATTCACCACGACGCCGCCCGGCCGCCCTAGCTTACGCCAAGGCTCCCGCGCCAACCGAGGGGCGAGTCGGTTGTCCTCCGACCCGCCCCCCAGACGAGTGAGGCCGTGCAATGCAGACTCCGGAGTCCCTGTCCAGAGCCCGCTGGTCTCACTAGGGGATCAGGCGAGCAGCGAACTGCCTTCGCCTTCTCCCCGTACGTCTGCGCCGAAGCGGGTCCGCGTCTGCCGCGTCCTCGCGCACCCGCTCCGCGGCCTCCTTTTGCGACATAACCTCTGCGCAAAAGGAGGCCACCGCCTCCCATGGTGTCGCCATCCCTGACGTGCCGGGTTCGATCCCCGGCTGGGTCAATGTATAAAAACTTTTCTATATTTTCTCGGGTCAGGGTGTTTGTGGTGCCGTATTTATTTCAGATTTACTTAAGATACTTGTTTTATGTACTTATTTTGGGATCAGAGCAACGTATGCGATAGTGTCTAATATCTATTATTATTCATTTATATATATTATATCCTTAGCTCTAATAATGAATGGTTGGAAAAATTTCTCACTCAAACTGATTGGAGTAACACTAATCAAATGTTAAAAGTACATTTGAAGTATATGAATGATGTAAGTATAGCGATGCAAACGCACGTTTGCATGTGACTGTATCGATACAAGCACGCGACTGAATACATGCAACCGCCTATAAATCCTAAGTGTAGCGATTAGCGATGCAGTGGCGCATTTGTATCGTGGCTAAAAGTTCTTTTTTATGTAGGAAGCAAACAAGCATACGGCCCGCCTGATGGAAAGCGGTTACCGTCGTATATGAACGCCTGTAACACCAGTGGCGTCATGAGCGCGTTGCCGACCCTTTAGGACCCTTCTCAAACCTATTTTGAAGGACTCCATGCTGTATTCCTGCGAGAACACCCCGACAGGGAGTTCATTCCACAACCTAATTGTATGTGGAAGAAAGCTCCTCTGAAAACAGAGTGTGAGGATGGACTCCCTGCCGGTGGCGAGCGCTGCGACGATAAAATGTTTCTATTGGCAACATTGGCCATTGTACTGGCGATAAAGCAGATATACGGAGGCAAAGTCTCTTCTCTAAGACAGTAGTTCAAAATCGTCTGTAAGCACAGTACGTCTTTGAACCGCTTCAAAGGGCCCAAGCCGGCATCCAGGAGCTCCCGCCCAAAGATGGCAGCAGTATTCTATGTGAGGACGGGTGACTTTGCCATCTAAGTGACTATGGAACTGAACGTCACAAGAGATGTCGACACCAAGGATCCCGATGCTCTCCGAGATATTTAATGGCTTGTTCTGGAACTGAACGTCTGCAGCAAATTGAGTCTTTTTAGCGGTGAACGCGCAAACTTGTGTCTTGGTGGGGTTAAATTGGACTAAATTTAGTCGTCCCCAATCAGAAACCCTCTCCAGGGTTTTTTTTGTTTTTTTTTGTGACACAAGTTGTTTACCGCTCTCCTCTGCGAAAGACCAAGGGGACTTAGCATGGCCAGTGTAACAGGTGTCCACCGTGCTGTCATCCGCGTAAAAGTGAATGCCGTCAGTAGACAGCATATCATTGATGTGCAGTAAAAACAGCGTTGGGGAAAGCACAGAACCTTGCGGGACACCAGCGTTACTCTCCGTGTGTAACGGCTCTAAGGGTGGCAAACTAGGGAATGAATCCGTGCACTTTCCAGTAACCGATTCCAATAAAACTTGACAAATAGATGTAATTTCACGAACTTTTGAGGTCGGTTTTTTTTAAATAAAAAAGTTACATTATTTTCATTAGTCATATCTTCATCAGAGCCTCCAAGAACTTCGCCCAGTTTTGGAAAATAACCAATAATCTGAACATTAAGTCGAGTTTGCCTACTGCGGTGTCGGGATGTAGTACCGAGAGGGACATAGCTAACATGTTTATGGAAAAGTTTCAAGTTTCTTCCCCGGTGCCTCAACCACGTGGAGTGCTTGATGCTGGGACTGGGTGTGGTCAGGAGATATTACGTTTTTCTTCTAAGCAGGTGGCTGCAGTAATAAGAAAAATGTCAAGAGGTAAATCTCCAGGTCACGACGCTCTCAGCATTGAGCACTTGAAATATGCAGGAGAACATCTTCCCGAAGTGTTGGCTATGTTCTTCTCGCTATGTATGAGACACTCGTATTTGCCGCCGGAAATGCTTAAAACCATAGTCGTACCGATACTGAAAAATAGAACTGGTGATATAGCTAATCACGCTAACTACCGTCCTATATCACTGGCCACAGTTGTTGCAAAAGTTTTGGATGGTCTGCTGGACAATGAATTAGACAAATATTTAGATCTGCACGACGCTCAGTTTGGGTTTAGGCCTGGGCTTTCCATAGAAAGTGCCATACTGTGTCTTAAGCAGACCGTCCAATATTACACAAAAAGGCAGACGCCGTGTACGCCTGTTTTCTTGATCTCTCAAAGGCATTTGACCTCGTGGTTTATGATGTTCTTTGGGGTAAGCTCGAGAAAGCGGGCGTACCTCGGAATCTGATAGAAATTTTGAAATGTTGGTACATGAACCAACAAAATAATGTGAGATGGGGAAGAGCTCTCTCGGATGCGTACAGATTGAAGTGCGGTGTAAGGCAGGGTGGTTTGACTTCGCCGAAACTCTTCAATCTGTACGTGAACGAGCTGGTTGTTGCGCTCAGCAGTAAACCAGTCGGGTGTCATGTCGACGGCATATGCGTGAATAACATAAGCTATGCCGACGATATGGTGCTCCTGGGTCCAACGGCGGGCTCAATTGCGGAGTTGCTTCGAACTTGTGAACAGTACACAAGTTCTCACGGCCTTGTGTACAACTGTGCCAAGAGCGAGTTCTTGATCTTTGGGGTCCCTGGTAAGGGAATGTCCTACGAACCAAAGATAAGTCTGAACGGGTTGCCCCTGAAAAGGGTAGATAAATTTAAATATCTAGGACATTACCTGACGGGTGATCTCAAAGATCAAATTGATATTGATCGAGAACGTAGGGCGTTGGCTGCCAGATGTAACATATTGGCACACAGATTTGCCCGTTGTAGTGAGGAAGCCAAAATTACATTATTCAAGGCTTACTATCAATCCTTCTACACGGGTGGTCTGTGGGTGAACTATACGCAGAAGGCACTCAGCGCCCTGCGTGTTCAATATAATAACGGTTTCAGAATGCTGATGGGACTACCACGGCATTGTAGTGCATCCTCGATGTTTGCTCTAGAGGGAGTAGATGACTTTTTTGCTGTGATGCAAAACAAAAAGGCGTCACTACTCTCGAGGCTGCGTTCTAGTCCTAACAGCATTCTGAAAATGTTTGCGGCTAAGCTTGATGCGCCGATGCTTCAACATTTTATCCAGGTTCTGGTGAGATCATGAGGTTATCGGCGCCTCGAGCAGTAAGTTGCATATACGTGTTCTTGTGTTTGCCAATGTATTGTCCCGTAAATTGTACCTACTAACAATAGCTTTAAGTTTAAATGTTCTGTATCTTTCTGTATTACTAACAAGTGGGCCATAGATGTCCAAATAAATGATTTATTATTATTATTATTATTATTATTATTATATCATTTATGATACATAAAATGTATTTTCTTTTTTCCTTTCTTCTTTTATATGCAATCTCTAACTGTTGAATAGATTATAATTCTAAAACGAGTTGTTAGGTTTTCGCAATTGCTATACATTGCAAACTAAACTATTTGGTTTATGTTATTTGGTTTACCAAAAAGCTCATAGTAATACGCTCATAAATTCCAAGACACTCTTAAGAGCGAGTCCGGATTCTAACCCAGGATCCCTCTACTTGAGAGGCGGTAGGTCAAACAAAACCACGGCTTACTTTGAATTTTCCATTAACACAATGTTTTGATAATTTTAACGTAACGAAATGGATTGACATAATATCTAATTTACGCCAATAAATAGAGCCCCTGTTACGTGCGTTATTGATAAATATATCAATTCTATTTTGTCATTGACTGACTAGTCTTGTCCGCTCTTATACTTGAATAACAGGCGACAAGGGTCTTAAAACCCAAGGGCATTTCACACGACAAATAAGATCACCAAAAGGATCTTTTGAAAATGTGGTTAACCCTTTTGAAATAAAATACAAGATTTTATGCTATAGTCTGAACCATCTGACAGGGACCGCAAAATGGTAACAGAGTTACGGTGAGCGAAAAATTAAACACAAATCACATACCAATAAGGTTGAATTTACAATGTAAAACCGGTAAAAAAATCGACCTGGAAAAAAACACATTCTAAAGACTTTCGTATTTGCGAGCGCTTTGTGTTCAATTTTGTGCGTACTGAAATATCTGTAACGTTTACAGTATCATCCACTGGTTGAATTATTGACGAGTGTTATTCACGACAAATCGAAACTATCTGAATGCTAGAGTATTATTGTTGGTGTTCTAGCTCTCGTAGGATCGTTAACGTTCGGTGGACTGTATTTGTTCAGGTTCTTGATCTGGATCGATGGGGTTCTTGCTCTTCTCGGGATCAGGATCGTAAATGAAACACTGACTACTAACCACTACCACCACCTTTATTGCTCAACATGTTTCTACTTAAGTATTAAATTAACTCTCTCATCTAGTAGAGATGTCGGCGAGGAAGCAGTCGGCGCGGTGCGCGTGGTGCAGGGGGCGGCGACTCAGTACGACGCTGTGTGCGGGGTGCGGGGAACGGCGACGCGGTCTCGGTTGGGGCGCGGGGCGCGGAGTGTATGGCTCGGTGTCCGTAACAATTATTATCATTATTAACTTACCATACGTCCTGATGCTGAGCACAGATGTCGTCTAAGGAGATACTTATCATTTATAATATTTATTTCAAATATCATAGTTTTAGAAGATTAATTACACTAAATGACAAGAGTGTTAAAAAGATGTCTCGATTTAAATACCTCGAACATATTCTTACCGACGACCAGAAAGATGATGACGATGTCGAGACCCCTCTCACCCACCCACCATATTCCCGCGCCCCTGCGCGGTAATATGTTGGCCCTCAGGTTCGCCCGGTGTGCGGATCAAGCCGAGATAACGCTATTTAAAGCGTATTATCAGAATCTGTACACGGGTGGCTTATGGTTTAGGTGCTCCCAAAGGCCGATAAATTCCCTGCGCGTCCAATATATTAACGTGTTCAGGATGATGCTGAAACTACCTTGGTACTGCAGCGCTCTGTTCAATTTCGGCTTAAGTATTCGATCTTCTATATCTTAAACCGCCTTCGAATTTTGAAACTCGATCTACAACTTTGATATAAAAAAAATTGTCTAATTTAACTTGCACCTAGTTCACAAATGTCTGCATTTGACAGTCGTTTCAAGTAAGTATTTACTGGTGTTGTAGCCCTATCAACTCCATCCACCATACCGGTCGTAAAAGTAATAACGCCTAAATATTTAAATAAGTTATGCTTCAGATAAGTTGTTTTGCTAACAGTTTTTTAACAGGCGCCTTTTTGCTGGTCATTATTATCACGGCCTTGGTAATTTTAATAATGGGTAGAGCAAAAAGTTATTAAACAATGAAAGAACTTTTTTTGTTTTAAAATGTTATATTGTCTAATGGTCAGGTAAAAATAAAATTTTGGCGCGCATTTTAAGAATAGGCGGTAAAATTGTACTATATTATGACTAATTAAGACCAAAACAAACAAAATTGACAAACGATTAGGGATTTCACGTATACATTTAATTAATATTATTGAGACTTTTTCGTATCCTGGATAATTCATATTTTAAACTAAAGACTTTATAACTGAAGGATCTGACACTGAAACCTTAAATCGAAACCTTTTTCTAAAGAAAAAGAGAAACTAAATACTAGGCAGTTAATCCTAATTCTAAATCCATATTTCATTATAATAATGCTTAAACCACATACATCTTTAGAAAGCCATCAAAAACTGGCTCTAAATAACTGCAGTTAAATAGAGATGTGTTAACATACTCTCCCCACATGAAGTACCTTCTTTTTCTGTACGTCTAGCGCATCCTGGACAACTAACATCAAGTCGTCAATACCTTACTGCAATTGGCAAGTCCTTTTGCCACGATGATAAGGATGTGTATGCCATTGATACAATAAGAAAAAGAACTCTAAATAGCACTTTCAGATTTTTACTTGTTTGAATCTTTACAAAACTTGCGGTTAGGGTAATTTACAATCTGGGCCCCAGAGTGCCTTTGAGAGATAAGTTTAAAGAGATTAACATTCTTACACTAACGTCACAGTACATTTATGAAAATGTTATTTATGTTAGCTGTTGTTGACAGTCGTCTTCATATAGTCTCAAATTCGTAGTGGCTTCTATAATAAGATTCCGATTGATATTCAAAGTTTGCCATTTGCGAGGTTGAAAACTATGCAATTTCTGTGTACTTGGATGACAAAAATCCGTGGTAGTGACCCATTTAGCTTTTTCAGGTATTCTCAATCTAAGATGTTTATGAAAAATATTATAATGATAAATATATTCAAATGTATATTTTCAAAGGGTAACCCCTAGAGATTCTTGCTCATTCTTCTCAGGGGAATCTGCCTTACGAATGAGCGATAGAGTTTAATCAGTATGATGTATTTCAAGTGTAATTAATTAGCTTACCTATGAAATAAAGATTATTTTACTTTGACTTTGAAATGTCTTTGAATGGACCTGAAAGAGCATCAAATACCACTTAGAATTGTATTTTAGAAGTAAAAACCATCAATTATTATGGAGAATTGTAAAGTTATCAGAAATATGCTGATATTTATTTTTTTAAATGTTTTTCATTTACAAAATTGTTATCGTACGGACTCCCTCCGTCCCTTCCTTCCTGAAACAACTGGTATTAGAAGTTCCATTCTGCTATAGTAGAAAATACAAGTTAATTTTTACTTGAAATTAGAACTGAGTACAGAATCTTATTTCAAAGTCACCTTAGTAATGTACCGTTTTGTTCCGTCTTATTCATTCCTCTGGGAAGGTTTCGAGATGTTCACGGAGTAAAGATGTTGACGCCTCGAGGCTTGGGACTTTTAAAAGTATTCTCATGTAGATTGAATATGAATATTATCTGCTTACGTACGTATATTTGACTACTCTATGGTGTATTTACAAAAGCAATCCC